CCCAGGCTGGCCTCAAACTTGTGGCAATCCTCCTGCCTCAGCCTCTGGAAGATGTGAATCTTTCATGGTCATTTTGACTTCAGGGAAGAGCCAGAGCCAGAATTTGAACAGTGCCAGATCCAGGGAATAAGATGGGTGAGGACATGCTACCTGCTCTTGTGAGCTGCCTTTTCACTGGAGGGCGCTCAGCAGCTCAGACACTGTGAAGACACACAGGAAAGAGCACCTCCAGAACTGCTTCAGAAAGTGGTAAGAAGCCAAGAATAACTAGATGTGATGGCACATGCCTGTAATCCCAGGGAGGGTTAGGGAGGCTGAAGAAGGAGGATCACCTAAGTTCAAGGCGAGCCTAAACTACTTATAGTGAGACCCATTCTGAAGAAAAAAGGTGGCAAGAAGGATGGGATGTGTGTTCAATGGGGAAGGGCAGCAGTTAGTCCCAACATATCTTTTACTATAATAAACTTTTTGTATATGGACATTTGCGGTGTATTTGGATTGCACCTCTGCCCTGCGCCAGGTAAGCCCCACAAGGCTGTCCAGCTGGGGAACCTCAGGCCTTATCAGAGGAGAGCAAGGGGTCACCAGCCTCTCCCTGGGGGTACACCTGCTGCTCAGGTAGGGCCTGGAGTCTGTGGATAACAAGGAATCCAGATCTTCCCTTCCTTTTCCAGAGCTCTGAGGTGGGTGGGGCTCCCTTCCTCATGGTCTGGGCTCACCTGTGAGACATCACAGGTTAAGGTGGCCTGACCCCTTCACAATGGTTACCAGGCAACATGACTCCTCTCAGGGAGAAGGGGCCCAGCCTTCGAGGGCAGTCTGAGGCACAATGACAGCTACTCCAAAACACTCGCTCTTCACGCCAGAACCTCACTATATCCCTGGGTAAGAGCTGGGAGCCCTCCCTGTGGGGAGGCTGGGCCAAGGGGTTAGGCCTACCCTGGGCCCCAGGAGCCTGAGGCCACAGCTTCGGGGACAGAAGATCAGCATTACTAGAGAGGGGACTGAGGGTCCCTAAAGGCTAAATGCTCCGGATAGCAAAGCTGCTGGCCTCATCCTGCCACCCAGCTCACAGTACCAGGTGGCCAGTGCACTCATCAGAAGCAGAAACTGGGGCAAACCAGCAGCTGGCAGAGGCTGGCAGAGCAAGCGGCCAGACACCCACAGAGCTTCCCGAGTCAGAGAAGCTCCGGGTGGCTGCCTCGCTGAGCCCTCACCAGCAAAGAGCAGAAGGCTCTGGGATGTGGGGCCACATGGGGCTCGGAAGACAGGAACCTACATGAGGGCCTGGGAAGATGGGGCTGCTGACACTGAGACTCAGCCTTCACAGCAGCCTGCGCTGGCCTCGGCAGGCTTTCCTTCCCCTGGCGCTGGGAATAGAACCCAGGGCCAGGCACATACTAGGCAAACTTCTGCCACTGAGCTGCACCCTTAGCCCAGCCAAGTTTTAAAAAGAAGACAGTCCAGAGCCAGGCATGGTGGTGCACACCTATACTCCCAGCACTGTAGGAGGTTGAAGCAGGATTGCAAGTTTGAGCCCAGCCTGGGCAATTTAGTGCCTTAGAACCTGTCTCAAAATTAAAAAAAAAAAACAAAAACTGGATGTGCTGGTGCACACCAGGAGGCTGAGGCAGGAGGATCACTGAGTTCTAGGCCAACCTGGGCTACAAAGTGAGTTCAAGCTCAGCCTGAACTACAAAGCAAGACTCTGTCTCAAAAACAAAAAACAAAAAACAAATTAATAATAAACAAAAGAAATATATTAATAATAAAAAGTTCTGAGGCTCAACCCCCAATACCAGAAAAAGAGGAGTATGGGCAGAAACCACAATGACAATTCAGGTTAGGGGTGCAGTTCAGGGGCAGAACACTTGCATAGCATGCAGAAGGCCCTGGGTTTGCTCCCTGGTATCACAAAAGAAAGGAGAGGGAGGGGAGGGGAGGTAGAGAAGAAAAAAGAGGAAGGGAGGAAAAGAAAGAAAAAAAAATTTCAACTGGGCACATTGAACCTATAGTCCCAGCTATTCAGGAGGCTGAGGCAGGAGGATCACTAGAGTACAGGAGATCAAGGCCACCTGTCTGCAAAGACAGTTCACCCTGTGGATTACCACAGAGCCCCTCCCCAAAAGGGCTAAACACTGGCTACCCACCCACAAGGGACCTGGACTTCTCATAGCTAAAGAATGCCCCCCTCCAAGGCCCAGCCCTCAAGTTCTGGTCCACACAGTCGGCTGTGGCCTCTTGGGGTGGCAGAAGGCCAGGCCAAACCCCATACTGTGCTTTTCTGCTGGGCTCCCCAGGTTGGGGCCCTGGCCAGGAGGTCAGTCCCTGTGCTTGCTTTTATGGGGCAGAGCTCCGTTTCCCTGGGCCTTGGAGTAAGTGAGGGAGGTGAAGGGTGAAGGGAGGTCAGCAAGGCACACGGCAGTGACCATCGCTGGTGGTGATGTGGATGTAGCTCTTGGCTGGGCCAGGCACATCCTCAGTGTGGGACAGCTGCTACCACCTCAACCTGAGAGAGAGCCCATGAAGTCTGCGCTTCCACTGCCCCCACTTCACAGCTAAGCGAAGTCAGGTGCACTGCCCTGTGTCACACAGCCGCTAAGTGGCAGGCAAGCTGGGCTGGCATCCTGCCCATAGGGCCCTGCCCAGTGCCAGGGCTGCCCTTGCCTCCCTCTCCTCTCCCCGCAGCTATGCTGGCTTCTACCCGCAGCTGCGATACCAGGTGGGGAACACCTATGGGCGCACCACAGCACAGCTGCTCACAGATCCCAGCGTGCAGAAGAGCCCCTGCTCTGTGCTGTCGCCCATGACCAAGCCCAAGTTCATCGAGGACTTCAGCAAGTCCAAGCCCCCGTGGGTTCCCTGCCGGGACCTGGCTGAGCCACACATCCCCCACTACACTGGTGAGCTGCCCCTGCCTGGCCCTCCCCTCTGCGGCCCACCCTCCTGCCCACGTGGTCACCTGCCACCTGCCTGTGCAGGTCTGAAGCCCTACAGGAACTTCGAGATCCTGGGCAAGCTGCCACCACAGGTGGACAACCAGGAGCCACCAGGAGCAGAGAACATGCCCAGACAGGTTGCGGTGCCAGCTGGCTTCATGCCCTATCCCCCCTAC